TTTTTTTCTCCCCTCCCCTTCTTTCTCCAAGGATCAATCTGCTTTGCAAACATGGCGATCGCTATGCTCGAACCAGCGTTACCCATCTGGATGATGGAGACCATGTGTTCAAAGAAATGGCAACTTGGTAAAGTAGAGTATATTATTTGCCTTGCTATGTTTTGCCTAATGACCCTTTCAGTTCTGATCCTGTTAATGATGGTCTCCTTATATGCTTCCGGGTAGCCTTTTTTTTTAATATCTTTAAATTGTCAGTGTTATACGTGCACCATTGCAAGCATCAGCTTTGGTTTTTGTTTTTTTTTTTTTTAAAAGTTAGTGGATTGATGTTACATTACTGTAGTAGAGGTTCCAGTAAGGGCCAAAGGTAGTATTTTTTTTAAATATCTTTAAATTGTCAGTGTTATACCGGCACCATTGCAAGCATCAGCTTTGGGGTTTGGTTTTTTTTAAAAAAAGTTAGTGGGTTGATCTTACTTTACTGTAGTAGAGGTTCCAGTAAGGGCCAACGCTCATACTATGAGAAGAAATAGATGGAGGTAGCCATGAATTGTCCTGGCTCCTTTGGGAGCCCCAGCAGCAAATCTGGTTGTGAGTGTTGGCTGGAGCAGCTGTGAGATGCCCAGTGAGCCCCAGAGCCAATTTCTTTGGGTTTTTTTCCTAGAGGGAATCCTTCTTCAGTTCTAGCTTGAATTGCCAGGAGTAGGCAGCCACAGAAATCTGCAATGAGTGCAGTATTTTTGGTGCAGAGCATGCCCATGTCAACACATCATCCTTCTAAGGCTGTTCCTGGCCACATGTGGATGAAGGATGGACTTAAAATGTAGCCACTGAGGGCATGAGGAGCATTTCCCCTTGAATCTGACAGATGTGACATCCTTCCAATGGTCGCTTAATCATCCCATTCCACAGAAAGCAATGGGAGACCCCCAGCTTGGACCACCTTATGACCTGTAGCACAGTCTTGGGAAACCAGTGTCCACAGGCAAACTGGGAATTTGTCCCATGTATCAGGTTAGACTAGAGAGTAAAATGGGGGCAGTTCCTTTCTCTTTGAGGTGAACACGGGGGGGAAGAAAAATGGACTAACTTCCAGTGAGTGTCAAACAGTGTGCAGGAGGTTAACGGGAATCCTCTTGGGTGTGGGACAGAGTTACTGTTAAAAACACAACCTATATATGATAACATAAACAAATGTTCATGGATGTGACTTTTCATTAAGGTATTTTTTTAGTTTTTCCTTCATGAAAATGATGTTCTGCTAGCATCCAATGAATAACCCTGCTCTACCTTAACGTAGGTGTCCCTACGCCAGACCGAAAGCACAAACCTTAGTCCTAATTAATGCAAACTGAGATGTAGGGTGGCCATAGGTCCTTCATGTCCTGCTGTACTGTCTAACACGGTAATGACCACTAGCCTGTAGTACAGCAAAATTAACACACAAGCCTAGACGTTTTAAATCTCATGAAGAAAAAGGAAGGTTGTGTATCTGCCTCCCTCACCAGAGTTCCATATCACTGGTGGAATGGAAATGAGATTTATAAATCTCTTAGCTGAATAGAGGTTCCTAGAAGGAAAACACCCATTTTAAATTAAGACTACTTTTACCCCTTAATGATATAAGTAATTGACTCAATTGCACTTTGTCTGATTTGACAACATTAATTAAAGTTTTTAAGCCTCTTAAATTATATCTTGAACTGCAGGGTTTTAGGCAAATTATCATCTTATGCAATTTGGAGATCCAGCTGTTTGAAGCATGATCTGAGGAAGGTATAAAGAACCTTGATTTGATCAATTAATGTTACTGTGCATAAAGCTTATTTAGAAAATTACAGTTCTGCTTCAGAATCCCACATCTTACACACAAACCTGCAAGTCTTATTTAACGAGCCTCTGCAGTATTCTTTTCTGTATTTTTTTACAGCTGTCAGGGTCAGCTATATGTGCCCATTTGGTATAAACAGATAGCTCCGAGCAGGACTGAAGTAGCTGTGGTTACACAGGTGAAAACGTTTCCCCAGCATCACCATTGTAACCCACAAGGATTTTAATCACAGGATATTGCTGTGCTAAAAATTACCTCTCCATTTATTTATTTTTTTTCTTATGAATATCAGAGAGATAGGAAGGAAGATGGCTAGGCAGGAAATGAGAAAATCTATGTTGTCTTGGTGAAAGATGAGGAGCATATACACTTAAAGGAAACGGTTTGATTGTGTACCATAATGTCACAGCTGCCATCTAAATCTGAATTACCTGATTTAACAGTGACCGAATGGAAAGCTCGTCGTGGCACGTTCTGATTTGTCAGACCTTCCTAGCTTTGTCAGGATTCCCAGTTTTATTTCTTTTAAGAAGATGTAAAATTTAGCAGGAACAACAGGAAAATAGCACGTGTTATTTCTTCCAAGACACATGAACCATTCGACACCACTGCACAAGGGTCCAGCATTAGGCACAGCCACCCCCTTCTGCTGCCTCTGGGATATTTTTCATACAAGGTCTTCTCCTCAAGGGCAGCCCCTGCCCTCACACATGCCTGCAGCATCCTCCCTGGTGCTCTCCAGGCGATGGCACACTGCTCTCCATTAGCATTTCTTCCTTTAACATTCCCCCTCTGGTCCTGCCCTGTGACTTACGTGTAGGGAGAGGATGAATCCTCAAGTACAGGTTGTAATTGGCTTTTAAACCAGAGATGCTTCTGGCCACTGTGCAGCCAGCATTGACTCCAGATACAGCTGCTGCTGTGGAAATCTCAGGACAAGAAAAAATTGTTTGTCCCAACAGGAAGTTTTTCTGAGTGGATGTGGGGAGATGGGAGGCTCTGGGTACCTTCCCATCAGAGTTGGGAGGAATTTACTCAGGTGCCCTCATCTGCAAATCATTACAGATAATTGTTTTTAAAAATTTATACCAATGACTGATTGTTTTTAAATTAATTTTTGCTGTAAATACATTGGCTAAATCATTTTAAAACTATGTTTTTAAGGGTTTTTTTACCTTTATTGATATATGATGTGGTACTAGGGGAGGACTTTGTAGAGTAGGGTAGATGGTTGGACTCGGTGATCCCAAGGATCTCTTCAAACATGAATGATCCTATGATATAGGCTTGGCTTTGGCTGCTGCTTGACCAAGGACCATATCATGGCATTACAAACTCACCTGAAGATGAGGGCTCATGGTGTCCACAGGCGTGGAGAGGGACTGTGACTTGCAGGGCCACCAGTCCTGCTGGTCGCTCCTCCAGGGAGGGATTCACCCACCCCTGACCGTTCTGGGCTTGCTGCATGTGTTGAGCATATGCTCCATAAGCCATGCAACCAAGAAGGAGTTGCTTTCCTTGACCTATCCCAAAGTTTACTGTAGTTAGATATAAACTTTTTGCTCTTTGTTATTCTGGCCCCTCTCCCATACCGCTGCCTGTAGCTGATGCTTAAGAAAATCTTTTCAAAGGCATCACATCACTCCTGCATTTCATAGATGATGTCCTTAGATTTCATGAAAAGGCTGCAACAAACCGGATATTTGATTTCATTTTTTTTTTTTCAGGGCTATGCACAAGACCCTGTTAGATGCGTTCAAATCAAAATTGAAGTGTCTGGAATTTATTAGTTTCTTCTAACACCTCACTAAAATCATTGCTGATAAAACATCTCATTCATATTTTTCAGGCGTTGCTTTTCTTCCAGCCAGTATCTCTTATCTCATTGGGACTAATCTTTTCGGGATACTTGCACACAAAATGGGAAGGTATGCTTCATTTAAAAATACTAATAATCTTCCAGTCTGTTCGTGTACCATTTCCAGTGTTTCCCAGGGCAGTTTATTGATGATGGAAATTATTAAAGTTTGTTCTATAGTAGCAAAATCACTTTTTTGGAACATGTTGTTGCTTTGTGTAACTCAGCAGTTCAGACATGACTCTGAAACAGTCGTGATTAGCTCTAATATCTCTGTGTCACCAATCTCTGAGTGATGTTTCTTCTTTGACAGGTGGCTTTGTGCTTTACTTGGGATGCTAATTGTGGGAATAAGTATTTTGTGCGTAAGTAGATCCCATAACTTTCAAACCATATAAATGTTCTTGTGTTTATCTTCAAATATGTGCTTTCCCTGTGAGATTTTGCTGAAGTTTCTGCTTTATGAAATGTTATTAAACAATGTGTAGTTAATAGGTTCCAGATCAGAGTTTTGAGTGCTTTCAAATTTCAGTGCTTCAATTATTTTAAGGAAGAATGGCTCTGAAAGGAGGAGGATGATTCTTTTTTGAGCTGTCACTGAAAAGTTTATTCTTGGTCATAATATTAAGTGTGTCAGTGATTTAATGGCACAGTTGTCTGAAGCAGTAGCCCAGAACAATGATCAAACTCACACATCTGTAACGAGCCATAACTACTCTGAGAATTTATCTTAGAAAAAGAAAGCTAACCTCATTACCATGTGCAGTGTGACTTAATTAACTGCCTGAAATTTCCTTTATAGGTACCCTTTGCTAAAAACATTTATGGGCTCATAGCACCAAATTTTGGAGTTGGATTTGCCATTGGTAAGAAAAATTACAATGACTTCTTACGGGCTATTGGTTTTGTAAAAATGATTTTATATGAAGTTACATGGAAAATTATTTTTGTTGCCATTCTGACCTGCCAGTAGCAAAGCCTGAGTTGTGGCCCAAACTAGAAGGTAAAACAAGAAGGATTAAAGGAAGGTGCTCAAGGCAGTTTCAACCAGGCTGCTGTTAGATGAGCTGGATTCAGAAGACTGTCCAGAATTGCTCCATCGACCTAAACAGATCTTTCAAACTGTCCACAAATTTATATCTTGTTTTCAGAAATAGAGCAATGCACTGCCCAAAACCCACGTCTTCCCTGTTGTGAAAAAGAAGTTAAATAGACACTTTTGTAGAAAAAAACCCAAACAAACACCAAAACTAGTCTAAGCTTTGTGTTCATCAATAGGAATTCTCAAGCCCCCACAGATGTACTCTTCTTAAGCGTAATGTGTGAACTTTCCTTATGCTGGACCATGCAGTCAGGCTGGAGTGGGGACTGTGACTTGGATTTTAGTGCTTGGCTGGTGAGCAAATGTTCCGGGGCATCTTCAGGCACAAGGGATGTGTAGCCGGGAAAGATGTTCCAGGTGTGACTACGAATCCCCAGCATCTCAGCAGTTTTTTTCAGCTGTCTTGTGCCATTTCTTGCTAGCAATGGAAGTGGGGATCCAAAGACATGTTAAAACCACTGTAGTAATTTTGATTGACTGGAAGCTAATGTAAGCTTACTTACAGTAAGCATAAGCTCAAACAAAATAACTTTCCCCTAAATAAAAGGTAACTTGGTGAGGTAAGAGCCTGGGCACAGACGGTTGCTGGGAAGTGTTTGATGTGCTTTAAGCTCACACCTCTCTTGCCCTCTGTCAAGTGTCACATGTACACATCCATGCGTGACCTCACTGTAAAGATCATAAAAAGTATGGATAACAGTTATTTAAGAATAAAATAATACAGGTTTTTAAGAATTTAAACTTATTTAAGAATAAGCATCCTTTAAGTTGCCTTTGCATCCTGCTTTAGCGCATAATTGGCCAAGACATTAAAATGAAAAAAAAAAAACCACAACAAACCAACAGTATTTTCCTGATATATGTTTCCTTCCCTCATGACCAGGAATGGTGGACTCCTCCATGATGCCAATTATGGGCTACCTCGTGGATCTGCGCCATGTGTCGGTCTATGGCAGCGTGTACGCAATCGCTGATGTTGCCTTTTGCATGGGCTTCGCCATAGGTAAGTCCAGCCTTTTCCTGCTTATAATGCACAGTTAAGAGAAGGAAATATGCCATAATAGTAGGCGTGAAGCCCAGCAGCAGTCGCAGGCTTTGAGCAGGGGGTTCTTGTTTTGCACAAGAAATCAAAGCAGAGGGAATTGCGTTTGGCATCTGTCCCCCTCTGCTGTGCTCAGCTTCATTAGCTCTAAGAGGTTTGAAAGTGTCAGGCCCTGAACACAAATAAGGTATCCCTAGGAAAGAAGCATTGGAACATTTAAAACTGACACCACAGCTGTGCTCTGAATAATCTGTGAGGGGAATAACTCCCCGCTGACCCCCCGCCTCCTTGAGTGTGTGATACAGATGTCCCCAGGAACATCTCTAATTTCTTCAATGAGTGTGGAATATGGAGCCAAGAAAGGTTTATATCATAATTACAAACATGTCTTTACATTCCTCAAATCAATTTGTAAAGCAGGAGTTTTGTACATAAAAATACTGTGGTTTAAAGTGTCTGCTGCAAGTGTTGTGACTGAGCGATCTGCAGAAAGGGTTTTTATTTATACAAGGTCCCTCTGCTGGTGGTGCCATTGCAAAGGCCATTGGATTTCCATGGCTCATGACAATTATAGGCATTGTGGATATCCTCTTCGCTCCCCTGTGCTTTTTCCTTCGAAGTCCACCTGCCAAGGAGGAGAAAATGGTAAGCATAACATGGTTTCTTTCTTTTGATTTGGGGTTTGTATTTTTTTTTTCCGTGAAACAAATAATAACTTATTTCTGCATCTTTGCCTCCAACTTCCCCCAGATGGGCTCAGCACAGTTTATTTCACCCTCTTGCATCATCTTGGGAATGAGCTCCCCCTTCTTTTTATGTCCAAGATGTATAAAGAAAAGCTTTTAACTACTTACGTGTTACAAAAGTGACTGTGATTGGCAGTCTTTAACAGACTTTTTTCCCCATGAACATCCACATTTGCTCTCTGAGTCCATGTAAAAGTCTACTTTCCACAATCCCTGGAGTTTGGAGTTCCCCTGCTTATTCCTTGAGTTCTGCCCCAGGACACCCATGGAGGTGCCTGAAGGATCCTTTCACTCCAAGTGCTCACTGTTTGCTTCGCTTGCCACCCTCCAAAAAACAAGATTCCTGTTTTGGATTGGGTAGTCTTTTTCCTTCATTTCCTCTCCTATACCATTCTCCTCTTTCCCTTCCTTTCCCATTTCTGTAGCTCAATTTACCCTTTCATAAAACATCCTTTATCTGCTCCCCTGTGCTGCTGCTCCCAAGACTTGCTGTTCCCATGGGTTCATACTCAGGTTTGAACTCTCTCTTGCTGCAGGAGGGGATCCGCTGCTTTGCTCACAAGGTTTCCTTCTGCTCAGCAAGAAGGTGGGAAACTCCTGAGGGACTTAGAAGGCAGTGCAGTCAGTAGGCAGTGCAATCCCTCTTGTGATTCCAGGGCTGGGAACATCCTGAAAAACAAGCACCAGTCTCTGTTGCAACATCTGTCACCAGCTGTAGGAGCAGCTCGCTCGGTGCTCCCTCCTCACTCACGCTGAACAAAGTTGACTTGGGCTCAAAATGTAGTTGCACGTTGTTTATTTGGGTGAAAACGTAATTTTACATGTGCGTGGTCTTATTATACAGAGCCAGGTCTCTGCAAGGCAGGAGCAGAACCCGGTGCTCAGGCTGCTCACGCTTTGGACCAGCACGAGCAGGAAAGGTGGAAGGATGAATCTTGCTAAACATTGGCACATGTGAGGCCAGAGACCTTTCATTTTGCACATATTTGGACTGCAGAATCCCAGAGATTCCAGCTAATCCCTTTTTATGACCTTTGCAGACTGCACTGATTTATTTTATTTTTTTTTACACACTTACTAAGGCTGAAGAACAGAAAAGTTAAACAAGAAAAAAAACACCAAGCCAGCTGCTGTTTTCTAGAGATATGAAGTTTATCGTATCTATATCTCTCTGTCAGTGACCAGGGCAGTGTGCTGCCTTGGTCACTGACAGGATTTCACTGGTGGGGCTGGGTCTCTCCCCAGAGCCTAGACCCCTTCCACACTGTCTGCCCCTCCACCCCCATAAATGCAAAGTGACTCTTGTTCCCAAAGTGAACTGATGTGCCATTTCTTTGGGGTTTGAAAAGAGCCAAAAGGAGGGTGCCTGCTTCATCCTCTTTGTGTCACTAATTAAAAACCCAAACTTAATCACACTCAGCATGATAAAAGTTACACAACTGTGAGTACAGACTCCGAGTGTCCCATGAGAAATTCATCACGAAGGATGTAATACTGTGGCTGTCCCTTTTAGCTTCCCATAGGTAATCCCTTTTAGCTTCCTATTGGTGCAAAATCACAGTATTTGAGCCACACATGACAAAAGTTACACAACTGTGAGTACAGACTCTGATTGTCCCATGAGAAATTCATCAAGAAGGATGGAATACTGAGCCTGGCCCCTTTTAGCTTCCCATAGGTAATCCCTTTTAGCTTCCTATTGGTGCAAAATCACAGTATTTGAGCCACCACTCCCAGTAGAGCCCAGTTCTGCTGTTCTGGATCTCCACAGAAAGGGGTGGGAAAAGCAAAGCCTGGAAGGGAGGGTCAGCTTGAGGCATTAGTACTCCTCTAACTCATCCAGCTTGTAATAGGTGATTAAACATAGAAATATAGGAGGGTAAATTACTGTAACCAGAGAGCAGGTAGATGTATTTCAACTTAATACTGAAATACTGGTTCCTGTAAGGTAATAGAAAGTTGCTGGTGACATCTATGTGGCCAAGATCCCACCTCACCCAGACCTATGGACTTGCTTTAGAATCACAGCAGTGTCTAGGCTAGAAGGGACCTTTAAGATTATCGAGTCCAACCATTAACCCAGCGCTGCCAAGTCCACCACTGAACCATGTCCCTCAGCACCACAGCTACACACCTTTTAAATACCTCCAGGGCTGGTGATTGATTGAGCCACTTCCCTGGGCAGCCTCTTCCAGTGTTTATAAATACCTCCAGGGCTGGAGATTGAACCACTTCCCTGGGCAGCCTCTTCCAGTGTTTGATAACCATTCCAGAGAAGACATTTTTCCTAATATCCAATCTGAACCTCCCCTGGCACAACTCAAGGTCATTTCCCCTTGTCCTATTGCCTGTTACTTGGGAGAAGAGACCAACTCCCACCCCACTGCACCCTCCTTTCAGGGAGCTGTAGAGAGCAAGAAGGTCTAGTTGACATCAGCTTGGGTTCTGCTTTGAGGGAGGGCAGGTGAATCCCTGAAGGGTGGATGCAGCCCAAGGGCTGGTGGGTGGTGGAAACAACCCCAGAGGTGAAATGCTAATACTCCCCCTCTGTTCTCTTGCAGGCAATACTCATGGATCACAACTGCCCTGTTAAAACAAAAATGTACACCCAGAACAACATCCAGTCCTACCCCATAGGTGATGAAGAAGAAGAATATGAAAGTGATGAATAATATTAAAAGCCATATGACATATTTCGGTGTACAAAATGCAGTGTTTCATGTGAAACAGCTCATCTAGAAATAGGTTTCAGTTGTACTGTACATTTAATAGTGAAATGGTCAAAAAAACCAAAGGTATATTATTCATCGCCCATGATTATACAGCAGACTGCTAACCGCCTTACAAGGAGGGGAAAAGCTTTTATAGAGGATTTGTATAGTGTTAATCTTTATTTTGTGTATTTAATTTTATTGAATATTACACTATATTTTTGATTAAATGTGTAGCATAAATCTGTATAAATGTGAATTTTAAATATTTGTTTTTTTAAAGTCAACTCATTGACCCAATATTTCATATTTCATTCTTGTTTTTTTAAACTCATTGACCCAATATTTCATATTTCATTTGGAGTCGTGAGTTACTGCCAAGAGCTTGGGTCTTTCTTATCTAATCAAAAGAAGGGAAAAAGGAAAAAAAGAAAAAAAAAGAGCAAAGCTCAAAGAAAACTTACCCAATTTGCATCCTTCTAAATTGTATCCATGCACGTACATCCAGAGGAGCTGGAGGCTGGAATTCAGAGTGTGGACATCACTAAGAGGTTTTTTTTGATCAACTTCAGATCATACAAGTAGGTATGAATGTGCACCCTTCCCTTCAAGGGAATAGGAACAGCATAAAGATAGTTATTATATTTCTATCTTTTGAATCTTTTAATTCTACCATCTCAACTTTATTTTAGATAAATAGGTGACTGGTTAAGAAAAGCTGCACTATCATGGTATTTAGTCTTTGCATGAACTGAAAGTAAGCCAGTGACTTAAGCAGTTCAAACAAAACCCCTTATTTTACATTATTTGCGTACATATCTACAAATTCAACATATATTTATTTTTAAAAAAAATTAAGTTAAAATATCAACTTGAAAATAATGAGGGGAAAAAAAAAAAAAAGGACCTGTTGCCAGTCTCTTAACACTTGGTGGCAGGGTCTAATAGAGAAGCGCTGTATTTGGCAGTCCCTACCTGCACTGAGAAAAATCAGGCTTTTAAAGAAAGCATTTTAAAACAATCCCAGTGTCCTTATCAACCATGGTGTAGCTTATCATTTGTCAAATTAAAATCTTTACGTGCCTTCTTTCATGTAATTGCAGATGTTTTATGTACTGCAGCATAGATACTATGTTTACATATAGTTTTGTAAAGTGTATATACTATGGTCAGAAAATATGGAAAACATAGTGGATCAAAGTTTGAGTATTGCTTTGTCAACACTTATGCATTCAGACCGCATTAAAAATAAAGTTATCCAAAATAAATTCATGATCTATTGTAATAAGGTAAAAAATAATAATAAAAAAAAGAATCCCCCCCTCACGATTTGCCTTATGCATTGTGGTTTACTCTATACTAGGGGGAAAAAAAACAGTAAATAAGAAAAGCACCCCTCGTTTCTAATCCATGTGTAACTCAGGACAGACATGTTCACTCCAGGCCATAAATACATGCAACTTGTTTAACTAACAGCAATAGCTTCCAAAAATCAGTCTGTCCTGGGGCTGCTGGTCTGAGATTTAACTTTTGGGAAATATATAAGACCAAAGCGTGCAGTGCCAGGGGACACCCCTCTCTGTTCCTTAAATAAAGGTGAAGGTTCTGAAAAAACATTGTAAGAGGTTTAACTGGTGTGAAAGGCCAAGCAATACATCTCCTGTGGTTGATTTGAAAAATTCACTTACAGGTTTTTATATTGGTATATTTTCTATTTTCATTCTTTTGAATACACAATAGCTGGAGATACTCCCTTCCAAGCTGAGAGATGTTCAGAGACAGACATTAATACAGCAAACCCCAAAGGTCTATCATATATTCCCTACTTAACTGTCACTGAATAAGTGAGACAATTCTGCACATCGATGGTTATTTACCTCAGGTTCAGACTGTAACGTTGCAGCTCATTTGGATACTTGACAATTTGCCCCAAGAGAAGTTATTTCACTTACCTTCACCAAACTCTTTTAATCAAAGTGTTACTCCAACTGTATTTGAAACTAATATCCCAATGGCAGAATTCTAAATCATCACATGTTCATCTATTTGCCAGATGATTAACCGACGTATTGCCTAAATTCACAAGAGTCCAGAAATTATGCAAATATAGCATTTTTATATAGTTTTGTTTTTTTTTTTAAAGCAGCATAGAATGGCTTATCTCATGGCTTGGTTTTGTATGTCAGAGCACATCAAAATTAAGGAAGAGCTCACATTAATCTGCCACACAAAATAAGTCTGACAGATGAGTTGGTCACATTCCTTTTCTGCAGATGGAGCCAGCTTTCTACTGCTGGTCTACAGACCAGCATCTCACCAGGGTTAGCCCAGCAGACCCTCCAACAGACCCCCCCAGCTCAGCCTGGCTCCTCCAGGCTCTTGCTCCATTGCTCATCCCTCAAAAGTCAGATGAAGGCAGAAAAGAGCCATAAAGACACCCATGTTTGGGCTCTTTGTGCCACATTTCCCCCCCCCAAATAGAATCTAGCAGTTGTTCCACATTTTTTGATTTTTGAAGGAATAAATAATCAACTATGAACTCCTTTTGCTGACAGTCAGGAAGTAACTTTAGTCACAGAAAACACACAGAAGCCCTATTCTGTCCTGAAATAAAAGTATTCAATATGAAAGAACCCCAATTTTCTGTGTTACTTTAAGGGGGATGAAGTCATTACTTATTTCATTTATTCGCATTGCTTAGCCCTCCCCTGTAGCTGTAAACTTCCATGCAGGTTTAATTTCAAATTTGAGGGAAAAAACAAAAGGGTAAGGAATTATAAGGAAAACCTGATCAAATAATGAGCTAGTAAACCTGTAAGGATTTGTTTAGTTATCCATTAGCATCTTCTGAAGGACAGGACAAGCCAAAAGACTTTTTCTTGGACAATTTTTTTCCCCTAACGTAACTATCGCCAATAACTGAATGGAATTATTATTTATATTTGTGGTCTTAAAAAAACCCCACAACTGTCCTTAGCATTTTATAAGATTTTCTAGCTACACAACGATTCAACTGGAATCACCACTTTGAAAGACATCTATGTCTAAACTGAGTAGCATAAAAATATATGCACATGCAAATAGAAAGAATGCATAAAAGCCCAATTAACCCACCCATCAGTAGTTTTACTTAATGCAAAAATGCATGGTTTTCTCCCAAAGATCCTTCCTTGAAGTACTGGCATTAGATGATAAACTACTGTAATACAAATGTTTTAAAAAAATATTAACACAATGCAAAGAAGTTGATAATTTAGCAAAACTATTTTATTAAAGCTTATTCTCATGATAAAATAATAGCCAACAAAATCATAGTAGGCAGATCTTCTGCAAATGTGTGTAGCTGCCACCTATTCAGATATCATTAAGTCAAGATAATTCTTGTTTTCTGTGGTATTCTTTATTTTCAGCTATTTACAGTCAAGCATGAAGCAAAGATTACATCAGGAATGTAGTATTACAATTTTCCCATCAAGATTCACCGTTTATTGTAATTAATGCCAGATAGGAATTTATGTTTTCCTTCTTATCACTAAAATACAATTATTTTGGCCTTTTCCCATTCAGTATATTTAAAAATATTGCACTACATTTAATTTACCTCTTACAATCATCGTTAGCAGTACTATACGAGGAAAACTATATCCAGCTTTTCATACCCACTGTATTACACAAGTCAATTTAAAACTCTGAATGCTTTTTTTTTTTAAATCAGTATTTGCATTGTTTTCACAGCTCCTTCATGTGTACCAGGGTTTAAATGAAGTACTTGGATATATTTGAAAACCTCTATAGTAGGCCATAAGAGCAAACACTGATGGAGACTGAATGCAGATCACCACCAATGGTAAGCCACTGAGAAATGGAGTGGGGAACTCTTATTACGCATCTCAAGCAAGTACAGGTTAAATAACTTTTAGTCAATAAGGGAAGCTAAATTTTGTGCGATTATTTGCTGAAGCTTAATTTCAGAAGTGTGTCACATGCCTATTTTAGCATGGATAGTGTTTTCCATACATCGACTAAACAAGGATCAACTGCCCAGAACTCACAAAAAAAGTGCAAGTAGTTGCATGAGTGGAAGTAACAGTTTTGTTTCCCAGTTCACGTTATGCTTCTCCATCTGAGGAAAACACCACTGCTTCTTTTTACCCATCACAAAATAAACCGAGAAGCAAACTTAATGGAGAGGTACGTTACAGACTGCCTGAAAATTTAAAGGAGTTATTTTACCATCTTAGATTCAACTCCGTTTCCACAAAGGCATTTTTTTTTTCCTACTACCAGTGATAATGATACCAGTACCTAACACAGTACCTAACGTAAAGATGATATTTTATACAACATTTCTATACACAGAAGATGAAACAGAGACGTGTTTACAGGAAATAAGGACAAGGGCCTTAGCCAGGTGATGCTAAGATCCACAGTTTACACAAAGCACAAGACCAGATAGTTCTTTTCAAAAGCTGCTGGCTGAAATTCTTCCTTATCTCTACTGGACGCACATATTTTGACTCAAATAAAACATGTTATATACACTATACGACATTTTTCTGACAAAGATGATTCTTCCGCTCAGACTGTTCCTTGTCTGAGAAGCTGAATGAAACTTACCACTATATGATTACTCAAAAGTGTTGAGAGAAGATATTTAGCTATTTTGTAAAGTATTTTGTACCTTAAGCTTTCTGAAATGATAAGATAAAGTCTGCAGCAAAATACTTTTTAAATTACTTATACCATCATTACATGCTTTCTCCATTGAATGTCTGCAGCAAAATACTACTTTTTAAATTACTTATACCATCATTACATGCTTTCTCCATTGAATGCAATGAAACCTCCAACTCTCATGAAGAACAATTTTCCTTTATCAGGTTATCAGATAACACAACACCTCTTCAACAAACAATTTTTTCTGGAAGGCAACCAGCCTCTTAAGTTCAAAAATATTCCCAATTAAATTATTATGAAATACTGGTATGTACTTTGATATCTAGTATTATTCAATCAGGATACAATAGCCCAAATTTCTAAAGAGGAGGTTTTCTTAGCATAGCATCACTATATTTCATGTCAATTACAAACTATGACGAGTTCTAGTATTTAACAAAAATACAGAAAACAAATGATATGCAATGTGAACTTCAGTAAATATTAATAACAGACAAAATGAAAGACCTTTTGTTTGCTTTCATGGTATGTTTGGCAAAAAAGACAACTACCTAGAAGATGTACAATAACCGTGATCAACATTTTAAAGCCTGGTCCCTCAGTGACTTCTGCGTCAGTCATCAGCTCAGGCAT